GTGCGGCGGGGGGAGTGATGGAGCGTGGGGTTGTGTGTGTGCGTGCGGCAGGGGGGTGTGTGTGCGGGAAGCGGCGCGGCGGGGCTTGGAGTGGGCATGGCTTCCGCAGAGGGAACGTTGGCCGGAAGGCTGTGTGTGCGCGCCAGGGAACTTGCGGCTGGGCCAATGCGCATGCTCAGTTGTTTTGCCGTTTTGTGAGTGTGTTGTTGTGTTGTTTTTCATTTTGAGTAGATATGTTTGTACCTTGTGGGTTACAGCTTGCATAGATCAATTCACTTCTTTAGATGCACTAATAAGAGTGTAATATCAAAAGCAGGAGTAGCATGTCTTTCCCTCTCTTTCTTGCATGTGTCTGCTTGGTCTAAATCAAGAAAGGCAAATGCCTGGCTGCAGGTATCACCACACCCTTCAGTGTCATGAAACCAATATTGTTCAAAGTTTATCTCAGCCTAGAGCCAGACAGTTGCCAAAGATGTGACTAAGATGTTAGCCATGTATTCACTTTATTTATTTATAGCAAACTGCTATATTCCAAAGGCCTAGTAAGTGTCCAGACTTTGAAATACAGACAAAGAGGTCTGTGCTGCTATATTTAAAAGACAAACACATTTTATTTGGTATGCCAGTGTAATACCGGGTGCGTTTACTTGCTCAGAATGCGAAGGAACCGCTAGGCTAAGCTGGGCCCTGGAGCTCGGAGCCAAATCTGTCAGGACTGGACCCAGACCTCTGCCAACGCTTGGACCAAGCAGCTTTTTTGTGTGCCAGAAACCCTAAAAAGGGTCCCATCTGGGGTGCCAGGAATTTTTAGGGCATTTTTCATGCACATGAGAGCCATAGTTTTCCCAAGTATATACAGATATCCAAGCCAGGCTTCGTTGTATGTAGATCGAGGCATGAAGAAGGAAAAATACATAGAAATAATGCAATTCCATACTGGAGAAAGGGAAGCATGCAGAATAGGCTTTTTTTGGGGGGGGGGAGGGGACTTTGGAACAGAAAGGCAGGAAGGTTACACATTGCAAAGATGGGAACAGATAAGGAAAAACAACTTTAGAACATGATTATTCAGCAGGTAAAGAGTTATTTTTAACAGCAGTCCTGGGAGACATTGTTTCTTAGGCTTGGAAAACATAGTCTTCAGAATCCCTGGGTTGAGTTAGGTCCCAAAAGAGGCCAGAGAGTTTACTCTGAGACAGGGAGGGTGGTAGGAGAGCAATATAATGAGCAGAGAGAACTTAAACTATCAAAGGCTTTCTAATGGGAGAATCAGCTATCCTAAAAGAGAAGAAAAGAGGAAAAGCTGAATTGGAACAAGAAGAGGTACATGATGGCTGGGAAAGATGCATTACAGCAAAGAAAGGCAAGAGATGCACAGAGTTCAGGGTAACCAATTTATTAAGGGATCATAAGCAGTCTGTAGCTAGTTTCCTGGTTGTCTGAACATGCACAGAGCCAAACAAGTACACTTTAAGTATCTGCAGCCTTTGGAACTCTCAGCTGCAAGAACAAAAAGAACAAATAATTTTGGCCAGAGAGGCTTCATGCAACACCAGGGAAATGTCTCTATTATGGATTTTCTATGTACAGAAGTTTTACATAACACTGGCCAATACACATCAGCTCTGTGTCTGAATATAGTTGAGCTGCTGATTCCAAAAATGGCAGCATGATAACCATATCTAAGCAACTAGAGCTGATGCAGTCTACCCAATGCAGTTTTCTTAATCAGCACCCTGAATAGCCCGAAGCACAGGCCTAAAAACCAAGATACCAAGAAACAAATTATGAACAAATGCTAAAAATATCACAGTGATTACACTGCAGCTCTCAGCACCAGCAGGTTTAATTTAGCCTTGAATTGGATCCAGTTCACATCAACATTTTCATAATTAGAGGGGCTGTGGTATGTAAAGAGTTGCTTGATTGTATAACGCCAAAAGGAGTAAACACCACGGATCAGGGTAGACAAATGTGGTTCTCCATATGTTGCTGAACTGCAACTCTTCTCATCACCAGCCATGCATGGAATTGCAGTCCATCAATAGTGGGGAACCATGTGTTACACCTCTTTGCCGTAAGCAGATCTTTTCTTTTTCCCATCATCTTAAATCATCTCTTCCTGGTGAGATAAGACAAGCCCCCACCCCAGGAGCCTTCAAGAAGGATTTAAAAACTTGGCTCTTCCGTTGTGCCTTTGGAGAGTGATCATTTACTTCTTTCTTGTTGTCCCTCCCATAATGTTGCCCTCATATTGCACTTCCCTCCACCTTTCTGAAGGCCTGTCTCCACTATTCCATCCCCTATGAGCTCCTCCCTTACAAATATACCTTTTTTATTTTTATCTCATCCAGAGTTTTATCATTTTATGTCATACATTTGGCCCGTCCATTGCATTTGATTTTTCATTTTGTTACTTTGCACTGTTTTATTGTACTTCTATGTTTTTACTTATTTTATTGTGAAGCTATTTTTATCATTCTCTATTTATTTTGCTGTAATGAATTACCGGGCCTTGCCTCATGTAAGCCACCCCAAGCCCCTTTGGGGAGGTGGTAGCGGGGTATAAATAAAGATTATTATTATTATTATCATCATCATCATCATCATCATCATCATCATCATCATCATCTTAAATGTGTTGCTGTTCACTGGAATCTTTTCATCCTCATAGCTATAATTCCCCAAATATTGTGTAACATGAGGAGAAATCAGGGAATTATTTTATTTATTTATTTGCAGTATTTATATTCTGCCCTTCTCACCCCGAAGGAGACTCAGGGCAGATCACAGAACACATATACGGCAAACATTAAATGCCAATTATACAATGACAAGACAGACAACAGATAGGTGTATATTGAAGCTTTTTTCTCATCATTTGGAAGGTGTGCTCACTTCCGGCCACAGGGGGTGATGTCGCTCCATCTTCTTATCAAAGAGCTTTCTTTGTTTGTAAACTTTTCCTCCAAAATGCCATGCCTAAAATACCTTTCTGCTTAGTATTTCCTATTCATCTACTCATATTGCTGTTCTCAATCCGCTAGGTGGGCAGGAAGCTTAACTGAAGGTTAGGAGCTCACCCAACCAGCTTCAAACTGTAAACCTTTCATCTGGTAAGATTTATTGCAGTTGAAGCTGGTGATTAACCTGCTGTGTTAAAGCCAGCCCTAATGGACATTATATACGAGGGTTAAATGAAAAGTAATGCCTTCACCTTCGTAATTCCTCAACAGATGACAGTACTGGTATGCGGCAGGTACTGGCTTGTTCAGTAGACTCTCCTCTGCAGTTTCATTTTGGCATTGAACAGTTGTGTTGTTAAAGTGCAAAGTATGGAACCATGCGCAGAAAATCGGTCAATGCGACTTAAGCAACGTGCAGTCATTGAATTCTTGACAGCAGAAGGTGTCACCCCAAAGGAGATTCATCAGAGAATGCAAGCTGTTTATGGTGATTGTGTTGATATGAGTACTGTGTGTCGTTGGGTGAGTAAGTTTAAAGATATTGCGGTGGGACCATCTGACTTGCATGACAAACAAAGAGTTGGACGTCCTGTGACAACAACTACTGAGTTTCACAAGCAAAAGGTTGACAGATTGAGTCAGGATGATCGTCATATCACTCAGAGAGAAATTTCAAGCATAATCGGCATTTCACAAGAACATGTGGGTCACATTATTGCTTTGCTTGGCTATCGGAAGATCTGTGCATGATGGGTACCCAAAATGAGAGGCTGGTTGCAGAAACAGAATGTCAACTTCTTCTGTGACGGCTTCAGAAAACTTGTTCATTATTGGCAGAAATGTATCCAACTGTCTGGTAATTATGTAGAACAGTGAATAGTGGTAGTTAAAGAGCACATTCTAAGGATTATTTCTGTGTTTGATTTATTAAAATATTCCCATCCAAACACAAATAACCAAGGGGGAGGCATTACTTTTCATTCAACCCTCGTAGCATTGAGCCATGACAATTAAAGTGATGTCAAACTGCATTCATTCTACAGTGTAGAGTCAGCCAGCCCTGACATTTAGCTCCTCAACCAGCATTGTTGTAACCCAATACATCTACAAGTCCAGATTTTAAACAATTCATATAAAAAAAGCTGACACATTAAGCCATTAACCATTGGAATACTAATCATTAATATGCTCATGATTATGTTCTGTCCCATTTTGCACAATCACAGAATCATAGAATCAAAGAGTTGGAAGAGACCTCATGGGCCATCCAGTCCAACCCCCTGCCAAGAAGCAGGAATATTGCATTCAAATCACCCCTGACAGATGGCCATCCAGCCTCTGTTTAAAAGCTTCCAAAGAAGGAGCCTCCACCACACTCCGGTGCAGAGAGTTCCACTGCTGAACGGCTCTCACAGTCAGGAAGTTCTTCCTCATGTTCAGATGGAATCTCCTCTCTTGTAGTTTGAAGCCATTGTTCCGTCCTAGTCTCCAGGGAAGCAGAAAACAAGCTTGCTCCCTCCTCCCTGTATCTTCCTCTCACATATTTATACATGGCTATCATATCTCCTCTCAGCCTTCTCTTCTTCAGGCTAAACATGCCCAGCTCCTTAAGCCGCTCCTCATAGGGCTTGTTCTCCAGACCCTTGATCATTTTAGTCGCCCTCCTCTGGACACATTCCAGCTTGTCAATATCTCTCTTGAATTCTGGTGCCCAGAATTGGACACAATATTCCAGGTGTGGTCTAACCAAAGCAGAATAGAGGGGTAGCATTACTTCCCTAGATCTAGACACTATGCTCCTATTGATGCAGGATTTGTACTTATTTTAACAGTATTTTAGAGAACAATTACTGGATGAAGCCTGCAAGTTATATTTAGCTTTAAAGCACAGAAAGATATTTGAACAATAATTGCTGATGCTGGGAAACCATGTTTTGTAAAAGATAACCAAACTTCAAATGATTGGCATATGAATATTAGAATCGTGCTGTCCACATACGATGCATGACACTATGCTGCATGCCACAGATGTGATTTTAAACAGTCCATTTATTATCTTACTTCAAACAAAGCAGAAAAACAAGAACAGATGTGGGATTCATTTGATAAACCATATTTACCACACACCGCACAATAAGAACTCGTATCAAACTCCTTGGTGATATGTTTGCTTTGTTTGGACAGGTCAATTTGAAGATAGGCAAACTAGTAGCAAAAATATAAGTGCATGTAGTCTGTTTACAAGTATATTATTATCTGCATAAATCCCTTTCTCTCTTCTTTGGCTACTACCTTGACCTCATCATTTTGGTGAGTAATGTATCTATTCAGTTTGCTGGATTATCCAGTTTGGTTGCATGAGAGCACCCTCCTGGTGCATGGACCATTGGTCTCTCAATGTCATTGGCACTGCTGTCCACCAAGGCGGCAAGATCTTGGAGACTACACCATTATGGATTATTCCTGACTACACACATTAATATTGCACGTCCCCTCTTCCAAAGCTAATGCCAATAAATGGCCTCCTGACCTTTCCTGTGGCCTGTACATCACTAGCATTATCCTTTATTGCAATCTCATCTCCATTACATCAGTTGCCACCGCCATCGGTTGCCACCTCCATATCAGAGAAAGCCTGGCTTTTGTGCAGAACAGTCTCGGCCTGCTCCTTACCACAAAGCATTTGGCTGAGCTTAGCCCTTCCTGTTTGTAGCATTGGATTTAAGAGGCCCAACATGCTACAGATTTCTGGGTTCCACAACAGAGCAGATATAGCATTCACCCCTATTTACTGCCCCTACTTGTGTATTAACTCCTAACTCCATTTCACAACCAACACAGGTATTCACCTCTTAGCATCCATTCAAGTACAGGTTGGCTTGCGCAGTTTGGGAACAGTAAGGGGAATAAGGGAGCTTGTTCTAAGCCTCTCTGTGGTTGTCCTCCAAGAATGATAGAGCCGGCTCCGCGGCCCTTTCCTCCGTTCAGTCTTGAGCAGGCGGCGCACCAAGTCTTTGGCACTGGCATGGAACCAGTTGGGTGCTGAGCTGGAAGGGCCCTGCAAGACCTTCACCAGGCCCAGAAGTTCCTGAGGCAGGCGATAGCGGGGAAGGAACCGCAGGGCACGAGGAATGTCCCGCCGGCCACACACTTTACTGAAATAGGCTACCACCCAGTCGCTCTGTTTGATCGTCCCAGCAGCACCCTGGAGTTCACCTTGCAAACATGCCATGGCAGCCCCAAAAAGGTCATGTGGCTCTGGTGCCTTCCCTCCATCTCCATCTTCCTTCCCGTGCCACAGTTCGTAGGAATGAGCGGTCCCTGGGCTCCATAGTAGCAGCACCTGACCCTGCTCCTGGTTTACAAGTTCTCGCTGGGCGTACATCCAGGCCATGATGCCCAGTCGGCCCACATGGCCCAGCTCCCAGAGGTCCAACAGAATGGGGCGGCCAAGAGCAGAGCGCAACAATCCAGCAAAGGCACAGACCAGCTGCTTGTGTTCCTCCGAATCGGGAGAGTAGATCAGCAGAATGGGACGGGAATAGTGTTTGCTGGGAATATCTGGGAAGGAAAGAGATGAAAGTGAGTTTCGCCAACAGATGAGAAGGTGAGTGCAGCCAACTTGGCATCAAGAAGCCTCTTGAAGGTCTCCATAGGACTTTTTTTTTTTTTTTGCGTCAGGAGTGACTTGAGAAACTGCGAGTTGCTTCTGGTGTGAGAGAATTAGCTGTCTGCAAGGATGTTGCCCAGTGGATGACCGGATGTTTTTGATGTTGTACCATCTTGTGGGAAGCTTCTCTCATGTCCCTGTATGGGGAGCTAGAGCTGACAGAGGGAGCTCAACCCGCTCTCCCCAGATTCGAACAACTGACCTGTTGTCAGCAGTCCTACCGGCACAAGGGTTTAACCCATTTCACCACTGAGGGCTCTTCCATAGCACATGAGGCAGTGCCCCAGGTGACATACAGTCCCTTGGAAGTTTTCTATGCATCCCACCCTGGGTGCCTCAAGATGCCTCTATTCCTACTGCCAAAGCATAGAATTACAGAGCTGGAAGAGACCACAAAGGAGATCCATCCAGCATGCAGAAATACTTAACCAAGCTCCCAACATATAGCCATCCAGCTGGGAAAGAATGGGATATTACACTAATTGATCCTGCTGTAGCTGTGTGTTATGTGCCTACTATAGACAAGTAAACAGCCGCTGTCTCCTGAATCCCCGTAGATGGCAAATCAGAAGGAAAAGACAGGGCATATAAGATACTCCTCAACATGTTGAAAAAACTGAAATCAGGCTCTCCTTTCGCCCTTGCCATTATCACAGGCTCATCTTGTAAGCACAAGGGAGAGAGCCTTCTCCTCTGTGGCCCCCCAACTCTGGAACTCATTGCGCAGTGAGATTAGGAAGGTCCCACCTTAGAAATTTTCAAGAGGGATCTCAAAACCTGGCTTTTCCGATGTGCTTTTGGAGAGTAGCCATATTATCACATACAGTTGCTCCCCCTCAATGGTTTTTGTCCCCAGAGTATATTTCCCCACCTGTAGAAGCATTCTCTCCTGACATTTCATCTGCATCTATGGCAGGCATCCTCAGAGGTTGAAGGGTCCATTGGAAACTGAGTAAGTGAGGTTTATATATCTGTGGAATGTCCAGGGTGGGCCAAACGTCAGGAGAGAATGCTTCTGGAACAATGCTATACAGCCCAAATAATGCACAGCAACCCAACTTATCAATGGCTTTTATTACTCTTACCTTTCTGGAGCCTGTGCAAACCCCAACGAATCAGCAGAATGACGGTGACCAGCAATCCCAATGCCAGACTCACACCACAGGCCAATAGCCCCCAGTGCTTGTGAGAAACTAATAGAAAAAAGCATAACAAAGTGAGTATCAAATATCTAAAAAAAACCTCTACAGTTCTTCACTGACCTTCTTCATCTTCTCAGGAATCTAGCTATTCTACCAATGGTGAATTTACTTTCAAGTTCCAACCTTTCTGTGGCTAAAACAATATTATTTATACCCAAGAGAGAGCTATTTGCAAGCTTGGGGAGAGGCACCTCTTGAAAATGTTCCCCAAAAAACCAGGTTTTTTGGAGGGGGCGGGGACATAAATTGGTCTTGGTGAGATAAATCCTCCCACAAATTTCAATGGGGACCAGGCATTGATAGTGCTTGCAGCTGAAGCTTCCATTATACCAACTCATTCACAGGATTTTAAACCAGGGTGGTAGTATCAAGATTACTTTTACTTCTAACTTCGCTGTACTTTCCCATAACTTCTTCCACCTGCTAAGGAAAGAGATGCAGATTAGCTGCCAAAGAGAAACATGTGGATGGATGTATTATGGAAGAAAGAAATCATGACTGGAATACTAAACAGTGTTCTTGCATTGCAGTGTTGTGGTACAACACATTTCTACCCAGGGTGCATAATTTTTACTGCCATCCCTTCTTTCTATTAGGGGAAATGGTGGCAACAATGATGGAAAAGAGGGTAATGTTACCCAACTCTCACAACTAGATCTATTGTGGATCTTTAAGGATTCCATCTTACTTTGATAATTTCCTGTATCCATATTAACCTAATCATGCTGCAAACTGGGAAGTAGCAGCATGTAATGAAAGGACCAAGCCAATGACATCTCCAGCCCATCCTCTGTTCAGATACCAGCCAGCAAGCCAACACCTTAAATCAAGAAAGGTTCCTAAGATCTTAAATCAAGCTTCCTAAGATCTACAGAGACACCTGCAGGAACACCTCAGCAAGCAAGATTCCAAAAGTGGCAGGCTAAAACCCAGAACCTCGATCAGTGGCTGAAACTGGAAGAGAAACTCCCCCCAGGCACACAGAAGCCTGGGCGACTTGGAAGGTGCTGAACAGACTGTTCTCTGGCACCATGAGATGCAGAGCTAACCTTAAGAAATGGGGTTATAAAGTGGAGTCCACGACATGTGAGTGTGGAGAAGAAAAAACCACAGACTACCTACTACAATGCAGTCTGTGCCCTGCCGCATGCACAACAGAGGACCTTCTTACAGCGACACCAGAAGCACTCCAAGTGGCCAGCTTCTGGTCAAAGGACATTTAGTATAATGCTAAGTTTTACTTTGTGGTTTTTCTATATCGGTATTCTCTGTACTTCTGACATGATAAATAAATAACCCTAATCATGTATAATTTTGATCATCAGGATCAATAAATAAAGTCTAAAATGTCTTCTACCCATCTGAGTAACATCTAGCTCTCATCCTATATCCTTTCCAAAAATCAACAGACTATTCTTCAAACACGGTTCCGACCCAGTTTACCTGTCAGAACGTATCTTCCCCTATAAACCATCAAGGACTTTAAGATCTTCCAGAGAGGCCCTGCTCTCGGTCCCACCACCTTCGCAGTCACGCTTGGTGGGGACGAGAGACAGTGCCTTCTCTGTGGTGGCTCCCCAGCTATGGAACTCTCTCCCCAACAAGGTTAGGTCTGTCCCTTCCCTCCTGACCTTCGGGAAGGAACTGAAATACTGGCTTTGGAATCATGCATTCGCAGATTGATGAACTGATCTGGTAAAGACCACGATGTTTGGATTGAGTTGGATGATGTTTTTAACTTGGCGAACTGTCTTTTATATGTATTTTATAACTTATTTATTATGTATGTTGTTTTTTAAAATGTTGTTTATTGCGTATCATTGAATTTTTTGCTGTTGTTAACCATTCCGAGTCCCTCCACGAAGGTAGAGAAGAACAGGATATAAAAGTTTTAAATAAATAAATAACAAAGCATCTAAGGAGGAACATGGAGCGTATGACACAACTGGCTAGCACTTATCCTTGGTATTCTTCCCATCCTTAAGCCAATGCAGCAACTTACCATCAGGACAAAGGAGCTGTTTGCCAGCAAAGCGAACATCAGAACGCCACACCTAAAAGAAAAGAAAAGGGGGAAGTGAGAAAATGAACTAGATCTGAGCTATAGAACTCCCCCAACCTTGATGTCCTTGCCTAGAATCTTAGAGTTGGAAGAGTCCACATGGGCCATCTAGTCCATCCTCTGCCATGCAGGAAAAGCACAATCAAAGCACCCCCGACAGATGGCCATCCAGCCTCTGTTTAAAAACCTCCAAGGAAGCTTTCACCATTGTCCATGGATGCCAGGGCTGATGGGAGCTGTAGCCAGACATGGACAACAGGGGTGAGCTTATGCAACTGAGGGGGAAAAGGAAGGGGCCTGAGGCTGTTAGGAATGGTGGGAGTTGCAGTCCAAAACACCTGGAGGGCCCAAGATTGCTCATGCCTGCTCTAGAGGGTATTGGAGGGCAAACTGAGTTTTTTGGAAGGAGATACAAGCTTGCAATAGGGCTGATGCAACCCCCTTGCCTCCCATAGTTGCTCATCTTTGATCAGAAAGCAAAGGTTTCCCCTGCCATGATTCAAATGCAATCACAGTAATCCAAATTGCTGAAATCATTGGTCTTTGATAACTGTATGAATCCACACTTCACAGGTGGCTAGGAATGAGCTCCCTTCACAGAAAGTTGTGTTCATTAGATATTTATTTTATGGACATCCTCCTAATCGCTCACATTAGGATGAAAAATGATTGCAACTCAAATGCACAGTAAATTGTGGGATTAAAACATATTGAACGCTATTATGCCAAAGCAATCAATGTTGAAAAAAAGCAATTTAAAAACACAGAAGAGAAATTTGAAAGCCAAAAGCTTTCATGGCTGGAATCACTGGGTTGTTGTAAGTTTTTCGGGCTATATGACCATGTTCTAGAAGCATTCTCTCCTGACGTTTTACCTGCATCTATGGCAGGCATCCTCAGAGGTCATTGGGAGGTGAAAGGTTTCATCCCAAAGGGGCTGTGAGAACTACAACACAGCCATGTGTCATCCGTGGTCTGCATTTTGTTCACCTCTGGCATTCATGGACAATGGTGATGGCTTCCTTGGAGGCTTTTAAACAGAGGCTGGATGGCCATCTTTCGGGGGTGCTTTGATTGTGCTTTTCCTGCATGGCAGAGGATGAAAACTTGACTCTTTCAATGTGCCATTTATCCCATTTCTGCTTGTTCCATCTATAGTGTTGCCCCTATGATACACTTTCCCCCATCCTAAAATGAAAGCCTACCCCACTGTTTATTCTTTTTGGGTTCCCCTCAATTACATATTTTCTTTCCTACCTCATCCAGGGTTTTATCATTTTACCTCATCCATTTGGCCTGCCCATTCTGTTCAATTTTATTTTGTGTTAATTTGTTTATTTATTTTGCTACTGTATGTATTTTATTTTGATGTATTTTTGTTGTTGTCTCCATTCTGTATTTTTTGTTGTATTGTATCTTTGGGCTTGGCTTCACGTTAGCCGCCCCAATTCCCCTTTGGGGAGATGGTGGCGGGGTATAAATAAAGATTATTATTATTATTATTATTATTATTATTATTATTATTTTGAAAGCCATTTTGTCAGCAACCAGTCAGATGTCAAAAGCCTGTCTGAATAAAATGGCAGGGTAGAATCTGTGGTTAGTTGCAATGTAACTTTCCTTACCAGTAAGCAGCTCCTCAAAGCCCTCCAAGGGAGAATGAGATCCAGATCTACTTGGACTGATCCCTCTGGCTGGAAACATAAGTGCAAGTTATATTTCAGTCTCACTTTTCCATGTCGAGAACATCCCATCCTCCCACCCATCCTCACCCATCAGTCTGGGAGAATATATTTCTTTTTCACTTCCCAAATTCCCCTTAATTCTCATTAGAGGCAGTAGATACCCATACTTACATGGGTGACGGTATAGACAGGAGGTTTGAGTTCACACTGGCCTGTGGGTTGCTTTTGACATAAGGCTGCACTAAAGGATGCTGGTATATGGGAGTGGATGTTTACGTGGAGCTGGAAAAAGGTGGCCCTTAGAGATACGTTCCAGGCAGTTTCTGGAAGGGAAGACAAGCACAGAGTTGTCCCAATGGTGCTGAAATGAAAGTCCCCTTTTCACATTTTATTATAATCCATCTTTAAAAATTATATGTGTATCTGTGTGTAGGATATTGAAAATTATAATAATAAAGGATGGGAGAATACATGGGACATGAATATAGGCTAAGCACATACAGTTGACTATCCACATTTGCAGGTTTGATTATTCACAGATTTGATTAATATAGTCTCTAGTATTGTGTGGGTCTTCCAATGCAATTCTGTACTCAATTCCTGAAGTCCAGAGAACTTAGAGATTCCTACTGAGGTGCTTTCTTGGATTCTAAAAAACTGGGTCTTTTTTCATGTTTTTTTTCCATTTTGCGGGGTCTGTTTTGTGGGTCTGTTTTGTGGGTCGCAGTGGCTCAATGGGTTAAACCCTTGTGCTGCTGAACTGCTGATTGGCAGTTCGAATCCACAGGATCGCATGAGCTCCTGCTGTTAGCTGTAGCTCCTATCAACCTAGCAGTTTGAAAACATGCAAATGTGAGAAGATAAATAGGTACCACTTCGGTGGGAAAAAGGCTCAAGACACTCCAAGCAGTCTTGCCAGCCACACGACCAGGAAGTAACAACACAGCTCTGGGGGAGGTGGAGAACACTGAGCACTGCCTCCAGAAGCCAGAAATGAAAAAGGAGAAGACTTTGCCTGTGTTTGTGTGTTTCATTGTATGGGACTGTAAGCACTGAATATTTGCCTGTGTCTGCTGTAAATGCTGTAATCCACTCTGAGTCCCTTGGGGGAGAAGGCTAGAATATAAGTAAAGATGATGATGAGGATTATTGTTATTACTAGCTGTCCCGTGCCACAGTTTGCTGTGGCTCAGTCTGTGTATATGTATTTTGTGTGTATATATGTGTTTATAGTTATGTGTATATATTTGTGTATATGTGTATATATATGTGTGTGTGATTTTGAGCATGCAGTATATTTTTTGGTTTTTGTCTTTTTAAGTCCCTTCTGTTGTGTTTTTCAGTGTTTTTATGAGTGATGGTCACTCATTGGCCTGATATGTGTATTGTGTCCAAATTTGGTGTCAATTCATCCAGTGGTTTTTGAGTTATGTTAATCCCACAAACTAACATTACATTTTTATTTATATAGACTAACCGTTCCTTGCCACACGTTGTTGTGGCCCATTCTGTGTATATGTGTTTTGTGTTTATATATGCGTGTTTGCATATATATGTGTGTGGTTTTGTGCATATGTTGTAATGTATTTTTTTGTTTTTTGGCTTTTTACATCCCTTCTGCTGTGTTTTTCAGTGTTTTTATGAGTGATGGTCACTCGTGTCCAAATTTGGTGTCAATTCATCCAGTGGTTTTTGAGTTATGTTAATCCCACAAACCAACATTACATTTTTATTTATATAGATTGTGCAAGCAAACCTCAGCAACTATGGAGGACCAACTGTACCTTAATATAAGCTGATCCTACTACCAAAAACACATTTTCTTGAAGATGACATTTAAAGAAAACATGTTATGAAATAGCAGAAACCATGCAATCTTCTACCCATCAGGCAATAGATGTCTATCTGCCTGCCAACGTATGGTGACTCCATGTTTTGCATGTGGTGTTCTTAGGCAAGAAGCACTCAGGTGCCAGTTCCTTCCTCTTAAATATAGCTTATGGCAGTCTCCCATCCCAATTACTAACCAGGGTTGACCCTGCTTAATTTCCAAGATCAGACAGGATCTGGTACCTATTTAACAAATTGTTTAACAACAGTTAAAAGCACAGACTATTAGTTAAAAGCCATGACTCAGAAATATGATAAAGGAATTTTTGTCAACAAACTAGCAACAATCCTGGCAGCACTGTTCTGCTCGTTTGTTTTAATAAGGAGTAATAATAGATATATAATATATGCACACACACATGAAGCCTGTTGAATCGTAATAAAAGCCTTCTTCGTATAGCAATCTAATAGTAGCAAAACATTGTCTATGGGAACCCAAAGGGGGGAAGGGTAGAACGAAAGAACAACAGCTTTGGCCCACTGCTGCTTCCCAATGACAGGTAGCTTGGGACATGGCAATTAGGACATTGTCATCATGCCTAGTAGAGAATAATTGTTTTATTCTCCATGAATTTGTTTATTTCCCTTTTAAAGCCAACTAAGATGATGTAATAAAAGAAGAAAGGAAAGGTTGTGTCGACTTTTTTAACAACAGATATAATTTTATATGCCTTGATCTCCAATGTAGGATTATGCACAATTCATATTGGCATTTTTGGTGCTTGTTCGTTTGTTTTAAAGAGGGAAATGTTAAAGCAACCCATGGGGTAATTATGTCCTGCATAAAGTAAAATGATGCATCTCTGCATTTCCACAGTTTCACCACATGGGAGTGTAGTTTGGTTTCACTATCAACATATTGTAAATCAACTTCTTCAGACTGATAGTCTCCAAAAACAAGTTACAAGATTAGTTCAAAACTAATCATAGGCATTCACCTTTAAAATCCCCATAATAAACTATCTTGCTTTCACAAAACAACTTTGAAAAAAACCCAGTATCTTGCATTAACTTGGCCACATCAACAAGGAACTCCTTGGCTTCAGCAGTTTATTTATGGACAACACATTTTCAACTTGTTAGCTTTGGGTATATATTTACAGTAAACTACTGGGCAGCTACCAATTTCCTAGACCGAAATTTCTCATGTCTCTGTAATGATGCTGGAGATCAACATATTTGCAAGTTGTGGCCCACTCAAAGAATTATGTCTTGCCAACTTCCACAAAAGGCAAGCTTGAATGAAGAAGTGTAAACAAAAGAATCACATTCCCAATGGGACAGCTAAGGTGCCAGGTTTAATTCCAGGTATCTCTAGAAAAGCAGTATCTCGATAGCTGCTTAAGCCAAAAAGTGACCCTTTTGGACAAAGTTCCCCAGTCACCAAACCCCTCATTGGGTGAAGTGGTGGCAAAACCAGTAAGCCTGAACTCCTGTTTAGGAAATTACATCCCTGCTTTGTAACCTTCCCAGTATACCATGGGAGCAAAGTAGAGGTTAGTCCTGTGTATTATGAAGACTCACCTGTCTGATGTGGGCACTCGATGTGGCTTGTATTCTTGTAAGAGAACTACAGAAGGTAAAATAATGTCATTAGAACAGCAATGGCTTGCCATACTAATCCTTCACATTATGCTCACAGAACCAAAGGTTAGTTAAAAATAGAACAATTTCTCAAACTTGGTCCCAATTCTTTATTCAGGAAAGATACACCTAACACTGTTTCAAGCCCAATTATTTCAGCTTTTTTGATCCCAAGAACCCAAGAATTCAATTCTCAGGAGAGCTTGGAGCACAGATGGCAAAATGATTCCCTTCCAAAGGTTGTTGGACTGCAACTAAACATCCCTCACCATTTGCAACGCTAGCTCAGACTGCTGAGAGTTGCAATCCAATTTTCATTTGGAGGACCACACTTTATTTACCACTGATACAAAATCACAGTGTAGGGAGAAACCCTTGCAATGGTTTAGCCCAACTCCATGCTTGTTGCAGGATCTGCAAAGTGGCCTGCAGGTAACGTATCTCTGAAAAATGGCCATTTAGCCTTTCCCTAATGAATGAGAATCTGTCATTTCCCAAGGCAGGCTCTTCATTATGAAACAATTCTGATATCAGAAAGCTTTCCCAAAACTTACATAGACTCTTCTTTTACTCACTAGTTATAGATTCATACTCAGAAACAACAGAGAACACTATGCTCCATCTTCTGGTGGAAGTCTTTCCTATATTTTAAGACTGGGCGCAGCATATTCACCTGGACACAGCATATTATTGGAGAACACAGAAATGCTGGACCACTCTAACAACCACCATGTCAGACTACACAGAGAAGCCACTAAAATCCACAAGCACGTGGACACTTTCAACAGAAAGGAGGAAACCATGAAAATGAACAAAATTTGGCTACCAATATTTTAAAAAACTCTAAAATCAGGACAGTAAGTAATGAGCAACACTCAAAAACAGGGGAATTCCAAACAAGAAACAAACAAGGCCAGCTAATCACCTCCCAACAAAGGATTCCCCCAGGCAGAAAGCAGCCAGATCTTGAAGCTGCAAGGCCATTCAATGCTAATCAAGGTGGCCAATTGCAACATAAACACTTGCCTCAAACAGAGAAGAGTTTTTCCTCCCATCCTGGACATTCCACAGATGTGTAAACCTCACTTGCCTTTCCAGCAGACCTCACAATCTCTGAGGATGCCTGCCATAGGATGTGGGTGAAAATTCAGGACAGAATACTTCTGGAACATGGCCATACAGCCCCGAAAACTCACAGCAAACCAGTATTTTAAGATTGTTTACATGAAATACTTTCATCTACCCTTCTTTAAGCTAAAGATACCCAGCTTTTTCAGAGGTTCCCAATAGGACTTTGATAAGAGGAGCATGGAGTTGGCTCCTAAGCATCTCACCTTGAAGCAGAGTTGTGGGTGTACATCCACCTCCTTGAGAACATATTCCTGAAACAAGAAATGTATGTCAGGGCACTGGGTGGGTCCTCCTTCTTCTAGCAATTCCTATAGCTACAGCCCATCCTGAAACCAAAAATCCCCCTTCCACAACCGCACAATATGGGACAGCAAATTTCCTGAGGCCATAGTCTCCAACTTCTCTACTACCCAGTCAAAAAGATCACCTATCACACTAAATTCCTAGCATAATGACTGTTGTGTCTCTTCACCTGGCCTGATTCAGTGATTGTAGCATTGGGGATATCTTCACAGATTGCTCCTGGAGCAGCAGCTTCTTTCCAGCAAAGGGAAGCAGTGGGATGAAGGAAGCAGCGGTTATTCAGTGCCATCGCCATCTCAGCCTTTACGCTATTGCTGTAGTCCTTGAACCGCACTGAGGACCACAGGTCTGGTCCAACTGGAGAAGCAAAGAAGAGGAAGATAGGATGAGAAAAAAGTCTGAAGAGACATTGATTCCTTACAACCTCTGTGGTAAACGTAGGACCTTATCACCTTATCACACACACTTATACCCTGTCTTTTTTGCGTGTCAGGAGCGACTTGAGAAATTGCAAGTCGCTTCTGGTGTGAGAGAATTGGCCCCCTTCAAGGATGTTGTCCAGGGGGTGCCCAGATGCTTTGATGTTTTACCATCCTTGTGGAAGGCTTCTCTCATATCCCTGCATGGGGAGCCAGAGCTGACAGAGGGAGCTCATCTGCTCTCTCTCCAGATTCAAAACTGTGACCTGTTAGTCTTCAGTCCTGCCGGCACAAGGATTTAGCCCATTGCGCCACTGGATGCTCTTTGCCTACTGGTGTCTATGGGTCCTATCACATAACACAAGGCCTGTTTCGCCATTAACCCATAGACAAAGAATCTGCTGTGAGTACCTTTTATAAAACAATCCATTTCATTCATCTCTGATTTCTCTATGCGTGTCAAATGCACATTTTTTTGGTATGTGATGGTAGACCCATAAACAGGTCATCTGCAGCTCATCTTTTGTGCCAGTGATGTATCTTTTGAGGAATGTTTTCAGGGCAGTCTTTTCCTCTTGCTCAATTCTTCTTTTCCAAAACACTCACCAGTACACTTTCAGTAGAAGTCAGAGAAAGACCATGAATAAAGCCACTACTTTTCTGCTTTCCCTTAATTGTTTCCTCACCTAGCATTCCTAAATGATGTCTTGCCTATTTTACCATGTAATTTCTGAGGTGTGTGTCATAAAGTCCTTAGCCTGCTGCTTTGCAAATAAACATGAGTGGCATTTCAGGCCAAGAATATCCAAAATATTTCTCAGTGAGGTCTGCACATCATAGTACTGTTAGAGAGAGCAGACTAATATTATCTTCCTTTTTTATGCCCTGCATAACAAAGCATTTAGTTAAAAATGTACAATCAGAGTTAGAAACCTAAGAAAAGACTGATGGCAGAGCTCTACTGTCATCAGGTTTAGGCGTAAAGCAATACTCACAGACTTCTGGTTGATCCTGGAATGGGCAAATCTTTTTGCGTATGCCATCTTGGTGCCCATAGGATGCCTGGAGGAGAAAGATATGGGGCAATGAAGGTAAAGGTTGCCCCTTGGCATTTAGTCTAGCCGTGTCTGACTCTGGGGGGTGGTGCTCATCTCCAATTCTAAGCCAAGGAGCTTGTGTTGTCCATAGACACCTCATGTGGCCGGCAAGACTGCATGGAGCACTGTTATCTTCCCACTGAAGCGGTACCTACTGATCTACTCACATGTGCATGTTTTCGAACTGCTAGGTTGACAGAAGCTGATGCTAATAGCAGGAGCAGACCCTGCTCCTCAGATTTGAACCACTGAGCTTTCAGTCAGCAAGTTCAGCAGCTCAGCGGTTTAACCTGCTGTGCCACTTGAGGCATACAAAGATACAAATTGGTTGTTTCCAAGCTATGATTAGCCCAGCAGCTGGGGTACAGGGAACATAAGCTGAGCCTTATGTTGCTAATACCCAGTGGCCATCCTCTGTATAGGATACTGCAGTTGGATGGTATTCCCAAAATGGTTTGCATGCTCGAGTATGATGACAGAGACCAGAGTTTAAATCCTTATTCAGGCATGAAAAACTATAGGGTGATTTCTGGTCAAATCTCAGTCTCAAGGGAAGACAAAACCCCTCTGAACCATCTTACCAAGAAAAAGCAATGATAGGGTTGCATTACAAATCAGAAACATCTTGAAGGCACACAACAACAACAACAACAACAAACAAACAAACAAACAAATACATGTATGGATCTACCACACAACTAGCCCACTGAGGCATGCCTTATGGCTGCGATTTTTAATCTCTGCTACTTCTCTATGTTGAATCTCCATCTCAAACTAAGACCATCTCAGTGTTCCTCTTATGGTAAGCATCTTGATGTTACACACACATACCTCAATACATAAGCAAGGGAGCAGAAGTTCATAGGGTAGCACAGCAGGATGATGTTCAGAGACGTTTGCCTGGAAGGAGAAGGGGACAGGAGAGAGAAATCTTTATGAATTATGAATCACCTAGAGACATAATTGGATTAAGGCGATTGAAGCCCTGGAGCAACTCCAAAATCAGAACCACCTTCTTGCACATGTGCCAATTTTCCTTTCAAGCCCAAGGGAACGGACTTGACCGATTCCCAGCTGGCAATGATGGAGTCTCGGGCTATATAAAATCCATATTATCTGCTTTGAACTGGATTACATGGCAGAGTAGGTTCATATAATTCAGTTCAAAGCAGATAATCTGGATTATTTGATTTGATAATCTGGATTATATGGCAGCATAGATCCAGCCTCAGAGGCAGGGATGCCAATGCACCAGACACCTCTTCTTCTGCTCCAAAAATGAAAATGGGAGTAAAGTTTAGATAGTAAATACTACCAGGCCAGGAGGTGGGAAGGAGCCATACCCCTCTCTCTTGAATATGTTTTTTAAAGTAAATAAATAAAAGACACTTGAGTATGCATGATGCCAGCAGAAGTCTGGAAACCTGACTACTACTTGTCCTGAAATATATACTTCATTTGACACCAATGATATCTCAGTCTTGCTTAGAGAACTTCCAATAGCTTCCGAATCTCCTTTGTACCCATTCCTGTCATAAAAGAGATTGCACCCACACACTGTAGAATGAATGCAGCTCGGCCACACTTTAAATGCCCTGGCTCAATACTAGGGGATTCTAGGAGTTGTAGTTTCATAGGTTCTTGGGCCTTCTCTTCCAGGGACTGCTGGTGCCAACCAAACTATAAGTCCCAGGATACCCCAGCATTGAGCTGTGCTGCCAAACTGCATCCATTCTACTGTGTAAACCAGGCATGAGCAAACTTCGACCATCAAGATGTTTTGGACTTCAACTCCCACAATTCCCAACAGCCTAACAGTACCCTGAATCAAAACAGCAAACTGTGCTCCTCCTCAAGATTTCCATGTAAATTAGTTGTAGCTACGTTATTTTGGCAACGGTGGCATAATACGGAACAGTCCTCACCTGCATATGGAAAGGCTGGCGCAGTTCCTCACACACCAGGGCCAGTTGGTGGCAAAGGCGCACAGTAATAGCAGGTCCCTGAGATACCGACACCTCAATGGATCGTGATTCAGGCAGCCATGTATGGTGGAAATCAGGTCCTGGGGGGAAAGCAGATCGATGCAAGGAGGGAAAGCACAGGCCAGTGTTTCCTCTTAATATACCATCAAACAAGAGGGATTTGTCATTTATGGGGGTTGGAACTATTGCATTTTTTAGACTACAGGTCTTAGATCCAAAGCTGTTCTGAATGGGACAGCCAAAAAGAGTAAATCCAGAAAAGTAACGTTCCAGGATCTGGCTCTTTTCTTCTATAGTGGGATTCCTTTTTATTTCCATCTCCAGCATCATCTTTTAGTGTACAAAGCTGCCACAGGGTTATTATTTGTACAGTGATCTCATCCCATCCTATTTGGGGATGGAGGAGAAATTTGTTTCTATTTAATGGAAACACATATAATAATTTGCATGACCCAAGCTAATATACAAAGTGAAACACAGGCCCCAGCCACACTACCATATAACTCAGTTTTATAATGCAGTTTGACAACCTTGAGCTGCATTATATGGCAGTGTAAACTCATGTAATCCTGTTCAATGCTGTTAGTAAAGGTAAAGGTTTCTCCTTGCCATTAAGTCTAGTCATGTTCGACTCTGGAGGGTGATGCACATCTTCATTTCTAAACCGAAGAGCCAGCATTTTCCGTAGACACCTCCAAGGTCATATGGCCGGCATGACTGTATGGAGCGCCCTTACCTTCCTGCAGGAGCGGTAGCTATTGATGTACTCACATTTGCATGTTTTTGAAATGCTAGGTTGGCAGAAGGTGGGGTTAACAGCGGGAGCTCACCTCACTCCCCGGATTCAAACCGCCAACCTTTTCGTCAGCAAGATCAGCAGCTCAGCAGTGGGTTAAATTGCTGAACTGCTGGTTTTGCTGTCCAAAAAGGTGGCGGGCGCTGTTATAAATCTGCATTATATGGCACTGTATATGGAGCCATAGCTAACTTTCATTGTTCTGCACGCCTGACAGTTCTACATTCAAAAAATGTATCTAAAAAGGTGTCCATTGGAGGAAAGTATTATTATTGTTATTGTTGTTATTATTATTATTATTATTATTATTATTATTATTATTATTATTATTATAGTAACATGCCTCTGTTATTAAAAATAATATAATTGAAAGGTGTTGCAGCAAGAGAAACTTTCTGCAACAGCCACGAATATTTGGCGTAACTGCCTGGTGCAAAAAAGATTCTGCTTAAACATCAGGAAGAATTTCCTAATAGAAAGATCTGTCTGATAGTGGAATATGCTGCCTCAGAGCATTGCTGAGGTTTCTTCCCTGGAGGTTTTTAAGCAGAGGCTCATCTGTTGGGAGTGCTTTGATTGTGTGTTCCTGCATGGCAGAATGGGGTTGGACTGGATGGCCCTTGGGGTCATCCAGTCCAACATCAGACATTACACACCGCTGTAGTTCATTTTGGCTTTGCCTTACCTGATTGCTTGCTAGTGACTGCAATGGTTTGGTTGATACTCAGCGCCCCAGGAGGAATGGTATCCAGAGAGACAAACACCTTCTGTCCGCTCTCTGCTGGGAAACAGTCAAACTCAATCTGCCACTGAAGAAAGGAGTAACAGGAGATCAGTGACCCTCAATATTCCTGGCTTATGTTTTGTGAATCAAACGTGACCCCATCCTATCCTAACTTGCAGAACTCCTTCATCAGTTATCACTATTATTGTGTTGCTGTGAGTTTTCTGGGCTGTATGGCCATGTTCCAGAAGCATTTTGCCCACATCTATGACAGGAGAGAATGCTTCTGGAACATGGTCATACAGCCTGGAAAACCCACAGCAACCCAGTGATTCCAGCAACACACGATTACCATTATTATTCAACTATTAGTGTGTCACTTCCACCTATTAAGCAAAAACAATAAATGACTCTACAATTCTGAATAGATGCAGCCATTTGGAGTATTGTAATGTACTATCTCTAACCCATAATTCAACAACTTTTGTAAGGTTTTAAGACCACTTGGCTTTCCAAGACTTAAAAAGCAAGCCTCAGCCTCTACTAAATGACCTTAGAATAGCTAAGCAAACTCTACTAAAACCCCGTATCTTGTTCTCCTATTAACTGTGAAGGAAATGCTTCCACCCAAGATTTCTCAACAAGACTCATTAAGGTGATTATGCCACACTAGAGAATGAATCCACTTTAAATCTGGTTGCTGCCTCCTGCAGAGTTCTGGGGTTTGTAGTTTAGAGAGGAGCCTTTAACAGTCTCACTAAACTACAAATCCCAGAATTCTGCAGGAGGCAGAAACTAGATTCAAAGTGAATTCATTCCCTAATGCAGTGGTTCTCAACCTGGGGTCCCCAGATGTTTTTAGCCTACAACTCCCAGAAATCCCAGCCAGTTTGCCAGCTGTTAGGATTTCTGGAAGTTGGAGCACAAAAACATCTGGGGACCCCAGGTTGAGAACCAATGCTCTAGTGTGATGAAGTGGATAGCTCGATCTCATCTGGAAGCCATATCATATACAACAGGGACCCTCAAACTATGGCCCGCAGGCCACATGCGGCCCGCTGAGGGCATTTATCCGGCCCGCCGAGGAGGCCTCCCTCTCAGTGGAATCAGTATTGGCTCTGCTAACACAGAGGTCCTTTCGTTCTTTCTGTCTCTCCCTCACTCTCTCTTTCTCCTTGTTTCAATCTCTCCCATGTTCCCCTCTCTTTTTCTTTCTCTTTCTCCCTTCTCTCTTTCTCCCTCTTTTTTCTCTCTCTTTCTCCTCTTCTTTTTATATCCCTTTCTTCTGTGCAGCCAATTGGCAAAGGTGGTGAAGGGGCAGCATTCAGCCCTCCTTCCCTCCACCTCTACCTGGGCACAGGGCTCAGGAGCCCCTGCAAAGTCCACCCCCCCCCAAAGTTAAACAGGAAGGGGAGAGTGGGAGTCTGGCCTCCAACGGTCTGAGGAACAGTGAACCGCCCCATGTTTAAATAGTTTGAACTGGCTCCGTGATATACAACCCTAGACTTGCTGCAGTTAGAACTAGCCTAGGAGAAAAGGAATCTGCATATACTCAAACGCCCCATCTATGCTGCCAAATAATATAGTTGTATGGTCAGTGTAGACCAGGCATAGGAAAACTTCAGCCCTACCGGATGTTAGGAATTGTAGGAGTTGAAGTCCAAAACACCTGGAGGGTTGAAGTTTGCCCATGTCTGGTGTATACTCATATAATGCAACCCACCCTTAGGAATGACATAACCAGGCTAACTAACCAAGTTTCCTCTGTATGTCCGGTGCTTCCTCTTCTTCAAGATCGTTAGCCAGCCAAAGCGATTAGAACTCAGGACCAGAAAATTCAGTTCCAGTCCTCTGATGCCTACAGACAGTAAAAGAGAGGGAGGTGTGTAAAGGACACAGCAAGACACAAATGGTGCTCAAACCTTGCTTGCCCTGAGTTCCTAAAAACAGGAGATCAGGCAAGGGTCTAGACTTCTCCCCAGCCATCTCCCACTATAGCTTTCCTCCCACTTTAAGCAGAGAGTAAATCCTCCAGACAAACACGATCCCCTCCAGGTTCTCATTCCCATAGAGAGTCTTCACATGAACAAGACATAATAATGAACATCTACAATGTAGAGTTAATGCCGTTTCAACTGCTATGGCTCAATACTATGCAATCATGGGAGTTGTAGCTCAGAGAGGCACCAGCTACTACTCGGCAAAGAAGGTGAAAGACCTTGTAAAACTCCATGATTCTATAGCAGGCATGGGCAAACTTCGGCCCTCCAGGTGTTTTGGACTTCAACTCCCACAATTCCTAGCAGCCTACTGGCTGCTAGGAATTGTGAGAGTTGAAGTCCAAAACACCTGGAGGGCCAAAGTTTGCCCATGCCTGCTATAGAGACTCCTCCATAGTTCTGTCTGTTAGGATTTGAAAAGAGATGCCATTTATGTAATGGGTTAGCTGGAAAGGGATGTGATTGGCTGGGCATGCCAGGAGCCAGGGTTCTGATTGGCTGCTGCCTCTGGCTAGCTGCTGAGACCAACGGTTCTAACTGTCGTTCTGCCATTTTTCTCACTTTGGACAGTGAAGAAGTTTGCCCATGCCTGTTCTATAGCATTGAGCTATTGTAGTTAAAGTGGTATTGAACTGCATTAATTCTACAGTGTAGATGCACTCGAGACATTTTCAGACCTTAAAGACGGCACATTGTCAACAAGATACCTCCCGAAGAAATCTTTCATGAGTGATTAGTTTGTTCTGCTGAAGACATCTTATATCCCTTAGCAGTGTTTATCACGGGGCCAACTTTCCTTGTTTACATAGCTGTGTGCACACTATGCTTTTGTAGATGTGCTCTGGAAGCTTGGAAAGTGCTTCCCTAACATGCAATTTATAAATATTGGGATTTTTTAAGAAACAGAATTTCACATCCTCATGACTGCATACAGAAGTTTTGAAAAAAAAAACTTCATAGGTTACTTTTTAAACAGTGGGTTGTTATAGGTTTTTCGGGCTACATGGCCATGTTCTAGAAGCATTCTCTCCTGACATTTTGCCTGCATCTATGGTCTCACAACCTCTGAGGATGCCTACCATAGATGCAGGCAAAACATCAGGAGAGAAGACTTCTAGAACATGGCCATATAGCCCAAAAAACCTACAACAACCCAGTGATTCCGGCCATGAAAGCCTTCGACAATACTCTTTAAACATTTCAAACAATTTGGAGTAAGGAACCAGCACATGATGTTGGAGGTTGAAATTAGTCTTGTCCACATTTGTCAATACAGATTTCATCTGAGATCATGGAGCCCTCGGTGGCGCAATGGGTTAAACCCTTGTGCCAGCAGGACTGAAGACTGACAGGTCGGATGTTCGAATCTGGAGACAGCGTGGATGAGCTCCCTCTGTCAGCTCCAGCTCCCCATGCGGGGGCATGAGAGAAGCCTCCCACAAGGATGGTAAAACATCAAAACATCTGGGTATCCCCTGGGCAACGTCCTTGCAGACGGCCAATTCTCTCACATTGGAAGCGACTCGCAGTCTCTCAAGTCGCTCCTGAAACAAAACAAAAATCTGAGATCATAATTCAAAACAATGTATCTATTTGTGGGGTTGCCTACCTGAAAAAAATGAAATAGAATTTGGAAAATATATTTTTTTTAAAAACTAAAGTTGGGTTTGGGGATTCTGGGAGTTGTTTTATCTCAGAGCAAAGCTAGACCAATCCTTCCAGCACCTGAGCATTCCTTCCAACAGGAAAAAGTAGAATCCCCCCAATTCTACACTTTTCCTCATCACAGTTGGCAGCTATTTTCCATCTTCTATTGTTACCCTACCTGTAGCATTGAGGGCCAATTGGACGTGAACACACCCCTGGCTTTCAGGCTGTTGGCTCTGTTGAACTATGCTCAGAGCAAGGGAGGGCAGAGGCAGAGAAGGGCTTTCCTGCAGTTTCCGCTGGCATCGATGTCTGGACAGGGCACCATCCACTATAGGAGAAAGGGGCAAGGTTGATGTAAATGATCAGGGCAAACCTCCCCATCCCCTCATCCAATATTATGGAATTTTAGATCTGGCAAGGTCTTTAAAGGTCATCCCATCTAATAATCAGGAGTGGTGGCGCAATGGGTTAAACCAGTGGTTCTCAACCTTCCTAACGCCGTAACCCCTTAATACAGTTCCTCATGTTGTGGTGACCCCCAACCATTTTTTTCTTCATTAAGGTATTTTTCATTGATACTTCATAACTATCATTTTGCTACTGTTATGAATCGTAATGCAAATATCTGATATGCAGGGCATATTTTCATTCACTGGACCAAATTTGGCACAAATATCCGATACGCTCAAATTTGAATACTGGTTGGGTTGTGGGAGGATTGGTCTTGGTCATTTGGGAGTTGCAGTTGCTGGGATTTATAGTTCACCCACAATCAAAGAGCATTCTGAACTCCACCAACAATGGAATTGAACCAAACTTGGCACACAGAATTCCCATGACCAACAGAAAATATTGGAAGGGTTTGGTGGGCATTGGCCTTGAGTTTTGGAGTTGTAGTTCACCTACAGCGAGAGAGAGCACTGTGGACTCAAATAATGATGGATCTGGACCAAACTTGGCACGAATCCTCAAAATGCCCAAATGTGAACACTGGTGACATTTGGGGAAAATAGACCTTGACATTTGGGAGTTGTACTTGCTGGGATTTAAAGTTTACCTACAATCAAAGAGCATTCTGAACCCCACCAATGATAACAATTAGCCAAACTTCCCGCAACAGAAAATACTGTAGTTTCTGATGGTTTTTGGCGACCCCTCTGACACCCCCTCCCCAGGGGTCCTGACTCCCAGGTTGAGAAACACTGGGTTAAGCCCTTGTGCCGGCAGGACTGAAGACCAATAGGTCAGAGGTTTGAATCCAGGGACAGCGCAGATTAATTCCATTTGTTAGCTCCAGCTCTCCATGCGGGGATATGAGAGGAGCCTCCCACAAAGATGGTAAAACACCAAAAAAAATTGGGTGTCCCCTGGGTAACATCCTTGCAGATGGTCAATTTTCTCACACCAGAAGTGACTTGCAGTTTCTAAATTCCCTCCTGACACACACACCCACAAAATCTAATAATCAACCATCTCTGCCAGATTGCTTTCCAGCCTCTTTGCCCCCAAGAAAGAAGAGCCCACAACTACCTTCTAAGGCAGGCATGGGCAAATTTTGGCCCTCCAGGTATTTTCGACTTCCAACTCTCACAATTCCTAACAGCCTACCAGAATACATTACCAATAGGTCCTCATCCTGCAGATGCCTCCTGCAGAATTCAGGGATTTGTATTTTAGGGAGGAGCCTTTAACAGCCTCACTAAACTACAAACCCCAGAATTCTGCAGGAAGCCGAAACCGGATTTAAAGTGGATTCATTTTCTCGTGTGATGAAAATTCAGATCTTATAAAAATTACTTGTTGATATAGGAGAACTTGCAAGCTTGGCATCATCCTAGTTTTAAAAATACACACCATTTAACACAGCCATGCTACTGGATGATTACACTATTTTCTGAAAATTTTTCTGTTCTTGGTTGGAAAGTGTTATTTTCTCTTTAACTTTGAAAACAGTTGTTCTACTCCAGAAACTTTGTTTTTGTGGCTGCCACAAACTATGTTGAATTGATGTATTGTCGAAGGCTTTCATGGCCGGTATCACTCAGTTCTTGTGGGTTTTTTCGGGCTATATGGCCATGTTCTAGAGGTATTTCTCCTGACGTTTCGCCTGCATCTATGGCAAGCACCTCACCTCTGAGGATGCTTGCCATAGATGCAGGCGAAACGTCAGGAGAAATGCCTCTAGAACATGGCCATATAGCCCGAAAAAACCCACAAGAACTGTATGTTGAATTGGTTGAGACTGAAAAACTAGAGCAAAATATTCTGCAGGATGTCCCACAAAAACAAAGCTTTCGCAGTTTAATAAGCTTTTTCAGTGTTCTTATGGTAGAACCAATTGGGAAATGACATTTATAGCCCAGGAACAAAAATCGTGTTACATAGTGTTATGGATACAATCAGGCTGCAAGCCATTCACTTTTCCTCTCGTAATGCATCCAACTCCACAACACTGGGAGTATTTGTAATTGCCTAAGATTTGCTTCTCTCTCAGATTTGAAACTGCGTGTGTGTTCCCTTCAAGAGGATGGCCTTGTTTTGTCACTTTGCAGCACAGTGCCCTCTCGTGCCGCTTTGGAACACAGCACACTCCCATGCAGGTCTGCTTAACTGTATGAAAAATTAAGCAAAAACTGGAGAGCGGCCAATGAAATCCAGAGGGGGAAGGCCTGAGTCATGGGCTTGTGTGGTGTCATGGAATTTTTTCAGAAAATATTGTTTTACATATTAACGTAATTGGGTTTGAACACAGAGCTAGCATTGTGGAGAAGGCAGTCCTGCATTCTTTTTATATTAAAAAAAGGTTTGTGGGATGTATTATTATTATTATTATTATTATTATTATTATTATTATTATTATTCATCCTTGTGGAGGCTTCATTTCAAAATATTTTTTGGTTATATAACTCACTACTTCTTAAAGAGCCCCCTTTAAGCGCTGCAGGTTAAAATACAGAACTGCTGAACTTGCTGACTGAAAGGAATCTAGGGAGCAGGTCGAGCTCCCACTGTTAGGCCCAGCTTCTGCCAATCTAGCAATTCGAAAAGAAGCCAATTTGTGAAGATCAATAGGTACCGCTTCTGCAAGAAGGTAACGGCATACCATGCAGTCATGCTGGCCACATGACCTTGGAACTAGCTGACCAAAAGGTTGACGGTTCGAATTCAGGGAGCAGGGTGAGCTTCCCCTGTTAGTCCTAGCTTTTGCCAACCTAGTAGTTTGAAAACATACAAATGTGAGTAGATCAATAGGTACTGCTTCTGTGAGAAGGTAACAACGCTCCATGGAGTCATCTTGGCCACATGACCTTGGAGGTGTCTACAGACAATGCCAGCTCTTCGGCTTAGAAATGGAGATGAGCACCAACTCCCAGAGTCGGACACGACTAATTTTAATGACAGAGGAAACCTTTACCTTTACCTTACACCTTCTTAAACTGTTTATCTTGATCCCAAGCGAGGCTCCTTTTGCTCAATGTTGGGGTCCCAAAAATTTGCCTACAGTACACGTTTTTTCAATGTAACCTGAATGTTTTACACAAATCTTTTGTGTGGTTTTTACAGTGAATTCTGCTGCAGATCCTTCAACTGTAATTCATAAAATGGAAAATCTACCTGTTTAGCAAGCCCTGCAAGTACTGATTTATTATCAGTAAATGTTTGGTTTTAAATACCTATTTTATATATTACTTTATATACCTATATAGTCAGAGTCCTGTAAAAATGTTTGGGTCAAAGGGGTCCCAAGTGGAATAACCCTGGAATAACTGAGACAGAATTACTGTCGAATTACCTGAACTCCCTTCCAAACAACATCCAAGACTTTTCCAAATTTCTCTGTCTACAGTCCAGGTACACACTATTTCTCACTGCTTGTACAGCCAGTACATAGTAATAAAATGGGGATATTGGTTTTTCTACTTACCATAATATCTGCAATTCTGCAAAAACAAGAGGGGAAAGAATATATTAGTGGGGGAAAATGGAAGGACTTTCCTTGTTGTAACTCTGCAGCCGCAGGGCAGCATATTTGCCTGAAGTAGACAGGTGGATTGACTAAGCTCAGTGCCCTCAAAATGTACACATTCCAAAAATGTTTTCCTGACCCTCCCCACAGTCCACATTGGGCAAGTAATGCAGAAAGTTCTTTTTTCAAGCCATAATTCATCCATGGAGAAGTAACTGCCACAAAGATGTATTGATGGCCATTGGTTCAGATAGTAGTCCAAATGGGGTCCCTTTAGCTCAGTGTTGGGGTCCTGAAAATTTGGTAACAATACAAGTTTTCTGAATGTCACCTAGTGGCATAGCAGACACAATGGTGAGTCCAACCAGAAGTAGTTCTGAACACCCCTAACTTGAGAGAGGTTTGGATTTGGCACAGTTTCAGCTTGTCTCTTGTTGGCTTAGTTGGCCCTTGGCCCAATAGGACTGTGCTCTTACAGTAGCTAGATGCAAACAGGACTGGACTTGTGCACCTTTAATAACGGAGCAAAAGAGGAACTGATTAGATCTTCTCTTCTAAACAAATATTAAAGTTGTAGGAATACTTTTTCCTTTAACACATAACTCCTCTATAACAAAATACTGGTTGATGAAGATCAAGCAAAGCAATGAGGGCTCATTTTTGCTTCCATGTACAGCACTGTATCTTGTGGAGACACATAAGAAGAAATATGCTGGAGTATTTCTGGACTAGCTAGACTTTCATTATATGCTTCTGAAAGAATGTGCGTTAAAGACTGAGCATTAATTATCCAGAATTCCAAACTCCAAAATGCTCCATAATCCAAAAGTGTACATGGCTGGTATGATAGAGATATATTGTCGAAGGCTTTCATGGGCAGAATCACTATGTTGTTGGGAGTTTTCCTGCCTGTATGGCCATGATCCAGAAGCATTCTCTCCTGACACTGCGCCCACATCTATGGCAGGCATCCTCAGAGGTTATGAGGTCTGTTGGAAACTAGGAAAATCGAGTTTATATATCTGTGGAATGTTTGGAGGTGATTAGCTCTAACAACTACCATGTCAGAGCACCTGACAAACCAACCTGGACATAGCATATTATTTGAGAACACAAAAATGCTGGACCACTCTTAACAACCATGTCAGACTGCATAGAGAAGCCACTGAAGTCCATAAGCATGTGGACAATCTCAACAGAAAGGAAGAAACCATGAAAATGAACAAAATCTGGCTACCAGTATTTAAAAAATCTAAAATCAGGACAGTAAATAAAGAGCCAGACTAAAAAAGAACAGGGGAATTCCAGACAAAAATTAATCAAGGCCAGCTAACACCGCCCAACAAAGGATTTCCCAGGCAGGAAGCAGCCAGGCTTTAAAGCTGCCAGGCCATTCAATGCTACTCAAGGTGGCCAATTCACACTTGCCTCAAACAGACAAGAGTCCCTTCTCCCACCCTGGACATTCCACTGATATATAAACCCCATTTTCCTAGTTTCCAACAGACCTCACAACCTCTGAGGATGCATGCCAAAGATGTGGATGAAACGGCAGGAGAGAATGCTTCTAGAATATGGCCATACAGCCCGGAAAACTCACAACAACCCATTGATTCCGGCCATGAGATATTTTTGCTTTCTGATGATTCAGTGTATACAACTGTGTTTTGAACGTTGAAAATATTGCATAAAATTACCTCCAGGCTATGTGTATAAGGTGTACCGTTTGAGCACCTCTTATTTCGAATTTCGAAATCCAAAATGCTCCAAAATCATCTATATGGGTGGCTGAGATAGTAATGCTTTTGCTTGCTGATGATTAACAGTACACAAAACTTTGTCTCGTGCACAAACCTTTAGGCTATGTGCATAACTATAACTGGTGTGTGTATGTGTGTGTGTGTACATAGGTATATAGGTGTGTGTGTGTGTGTGTGTGTGTGTGTGTGTGTGTATGTGTATGAAGCATAAATCAATTTCACATTGTGACTTGAGTCGCATCTCCCAAAAACCTCACAAATCCGAAGCACTCCTTGTTCCAGATAATGGTTACTCAACTTGTATCTTGTGCTGGTAATAATCCAAAGACTAGAAATATGGTGAGACTTCAGAGTTCATCCAATTCCTAAGCCTAGGTGTTTGGAAGAATGGTGAAGCTGGTGTTTTTCTATAGTGTCTATACCATTATACAGAGAGAGGCAGCTGGTGTGTGCCACCTCAGCTTCCCCATACCTATTAAGCTTGGCAGTTTCCCTCAAGTGCAGAAGAGAATATTTCCCTATCACTGGCATCAAGTTGAAGATTCAGTTACCAGTCCGTCCGGCTTTGTACTGGCCATGGAATCTTATCTTTTTACCTCAAACAGCAAATGGGTTGGGACAACCTTTCCTCCTCTCTCATGAGTTACCCTGTATTCTCATGTATAAGTAATAGAAACTTTACTTTAGAAATCTATATAAATAAAAATGTAATGTTCGTTTGTGGGATTAACATAACTCAAAAACCACAGGACAAATTGACATGAAATTTGGACACAATACACCTATCAGGCCAATGAGTAACCAACCATCACTCATAAAAACACTGAAAAACACAATAGACGGGACTTAAATGGCCAAAAAAAAAGCAAAAAGGCGCTACAGCACATCCACAACCCCCCTCCCCCAGCAAACAAAACACACAAATGCATATCCACACTCTCTTTTGGACTACAGCTCCCAGCATCCCCTAGACCAGGCCCATTAGGAGAGGAGGATGATCCAAATGCACTGCTTCCAAGATGCAAGCTTTCTTCTCCTTGGATTTCTTCGAGAGTATCCTAATCCCTGCATATTTCCAATTTCCTGTTCCTGGACTGCAACTCCCAGCAATCCTCTGATATATGGATTAGATAGAGGTAGGTAGGTAGGTAGGTAGGTAGGTAGGTAGGTAGGTAGGTAAGTAGATGGATCAGGAGGACTGTTGGGAGCTGCAGTCCAAGAATAGGTAGAGGAGGAAGAATGGGGAGAAAGAGGAAGGGAAAGAAAATGGGGGAAGAAAGGGAAGACGAAGAGAAGGATGGAAGGAAGGAGAGAAGGAAAGAAAAAAAGGGAGGGAAGGAAGGAAAGAGGGAGAGAAGGAAGGAGAGAAAGAAAGGAAGAGAGAAAGAAGAAGGGAAGGTTGTCCACAGCAACGTGTGGCGGGTACAGCTAGTCAACTAAAAAAATGGTTCAACTTATCCATGGATCAATGTGAATACTGTATTTTAACTCTTATCAAGAACAACCATCCCCTTTTCTGAGAAAAGTAGCAAAAGGCAAGAGCCAGAACACAGAAACATAGATTCACAGAGTTGCAGGAGAATCCCAAGGGCGTCACAATCCAACCTCATTCTGCCATGCAGGAAAATATAACACAATATGTAACATCATTTTTGTTCCTGGATTATAAATGTCATTTCCTTATTGGTTCTATCATAAAAACATAGAAAAATTATTAAACTGCAAAAGCATAGTTTTTGTGGACATCCTGCTGCACATTTTGGTATAGTTTTGTAATGAATATCTCATTGCGTCTCAGCCAATTCAACATAGTTTGTGGCAGCCACAAAAATAAAGTTTCTGAAGTATAACAACTACTTTCAAAGTAATTACCACACAATTAAACAGGAATAACACTTTCAAACCAGGAACAGATTTTTTTTCAAATTTTGTTACACAGTGTAAACAAAGCACCCCCAACAGATGGCCATTCAAGCTTTTTTTTAAACACTCAGTAGAAAGAGACTCCACCACAGCCAAAGGCGGCATATTCCACTATCAAACAGCTCTTAATGTCAGGAAATTCGCCCTAATGTTTAGATCAATGGTTCTCAACCTGTGGGTTCCCAGGTGTTTTGGCCTACAACTCCCAGAAATCCCAGCCAGTTTATCTGCTGTTAGGATTTCTGGGAGTTGGAGGCCTAAACATCTGGGGACCCACAGGTTGAGAACCACTGGTTTAGATGGAATACTTTTTCCTGCAGTTTGATTCAATTGCTCAAGTCTCTGAGAGCAAAAGAAAGCAAGCTTGTTCCCACCTCAATGTGTCATCTTTTCAAATATTTAAGCAAGGTTATCATGTCCCCTGTCAGCCTTCTTTTCTGCAAGGTAAACATTCCCAGCTCAGTCAGTCCTGTTAGGGCTTGGCTTCCAGACCTTTGGTCATTTTAGTCATGCTCCTCTGGACACATTCCAGCTTGTCAATATCCTTCTGAAACTGCAATGCCCAGAACCGGACACAGTGTTATTCCAGGTGAGGTCTGACCAAAGCAGAATAGAGTGGGACTTAGGACCTCTCCACACAGGGGTTTTTTTGGCTGTTTTTCTTCTTTTGGACAGGGTCTGCTGAGCGTCATCGTTGCAAGACACTTCCTCTGCCATGATGGAGAGGAATGCTCTAACAATGCTATCTGCATTTCCTTTCCTTTATTCACTACTTGTGGCTTAAAAGAGAATGTGTGTGAGATTATGTAACACTTCTCGGTATGGTTGCCTACATGTGATCCTTATCATTGGAAAGTGGCAATCTACAAGCCTGCTTCAGCTCCAGTTCCGTCTCCACAAAGGGTGGATCGGGCACCACGCATACACCGAGCCCACAGATGTGGTTTTCTCTACGTACATGAGGGCAACTTCTGCCCCTACTTTGTATATACACAGAGAGGCAGAGAGACGCAGCTCTGATTGTGTAACACCTCAAGTAATAACAAATCACCCAAATACATGTGGGTTGGGTGTGTTATCGCTGAGATGTGACTCACTCCGATGTGGGCCTCTGTATTCAAGAGGAGAAATGGTTTACCATTAAGAAATACCAAACTGCAGGCCTTCGATAACAAAAAAGGAATAGCCTGCTTCAGAGGAGAATATTCTCAGAGGTAGTTATTCTATCAGGTTCAGATTAAGGGAGCAGGTATGCCAACACTGCCATTCCAGTCCTGTTTTCCATTCATTTTCTATTCCACTCCCCTGCACAAGACAGTCAGCATCCTATGGTCATTAAGCATGTTTATTTCCCAGAGGGTTCGCTTTGGACCTGCCAATCTGAAGATCGTTTGTACTTCTGTAAACATGGGGATCCTCCCAAGTGCTGATATTTGCCTTGCTTAGGCATAGGTGGTGCCATACAGGCTGCATAAACAAAACAATAACATTTGGATTTGCATTCCAGAAAAGAAAATACACAGGTGGGTGGAAATTATAGAAGTCCGGGCAGCAACCAAGCTCCAATATAGTCGTGTAAATTCAATAAGACAGCAATATATACTCCAACAGGAATTAGCGTACTCATTAAACAGTTTTGCAGGACTCTCTGTGGGTTTTTATTATAATCTGAAAGATTATTTATTTTATTTATCATATCAGAAGCGAACTGAGGGTACAGTTGTACTGTATTTAAAAAACACAAAGTTTAAAAATGATATTATATTAAATATCCTTTGGCCAGTAGCTGGTCACTTGAAGTGCCTCTGATGTTGCTATAAGTCCTCCACCGTGCATGTGGTAGGGCTTAGACTGCATTGTAGTAAGTGGTCTGTAGTTCGCTCTTCTCCACTTTGTAACTCCACTTTGTGACCCCATTACTTAAGGTTGGCTCTGCATCTTGTGGTGCCAGAGCGCAATCTGTTTAGTGCCTTCCAAGTCACCAAGTCTTCTGTGTGTCCAGGAGGGAGTCTCTCATCTGGTATCAGCCATGTGTTGAGGTTCTGGATTTTAGTCTGCCACTTTTGGACGCTCATTTGCTGAGGTGTTCCTGCAGGTATCTCTATAGACCTTAGAAAACTATTTCTTGATTTAAGGCATTGGCGTACTGGCTGATATCCGAACAGGGGATGGCAGGATATGAGAGATGCCTCCCCGCAGGATTGCAACACATCCCTGGGCAACGTCTTTGTAGATGGCTGATTCTCTCACACCAGAAGCGACCAGAAGTGACTTGCAACATCTGAGAGATGCAAATTGGGATCTGGTGCACCAAAGTATTCCATAACCCAAATAGAGCTCACAATTAACATCCAGTTGTAGGCACCCAATTTAAACTTTTCTTGACAACATAATTTAGGATAAGAAAATACCATTTTCTTGTTACTGGGAATCAGAAATCTTTGTTGACCTACTGCTGGTAACCCAGAGACCTACATTAGATCAGGATTGAGAAACCTTTCCATTATTACTATGGACTTTATTTATATCCCTTTTTTCCAAGGCCTGGGAGTCAAGATGTTACCATAACTCTTATCATCGCTCTCACTATTAACTGTGCAGATTACAACTAAAGGAAGTTGCAAACAAAACCACCTCCACATCCATATATTTCCCACCCCAGTGGATGTTAGCCCTTCTCCCCAGCACTGGGTTGTGGCATATAAAGCAATAAGAAACAAGTTTCATCTCCACATCATAGTTGTTCTTCCAGAGTTTGCAGCCTGTCTGTTGCCAGATTTCCTAATGGAGTGCATTCATTGGGCAACAAGGCACGCTGTCGCTTTCTCCACGTGGAACCTCCGGCTCTTTCATAGATCGATTTTACAGACAAATCAAACAACATGTCCAAGTCTGATTGGACGGAAACAGGTTTCCTGCAGTGCTCTCAACAACAGAGTGAAGGTCCCTAAGCGATCAGAGGAAGTCACCTAAACAACTGACACACAAATATCTGGTCCCCAAAACACACAGAGACACCTTGGTGTCTTTGCTTCAAAGAGCACAGCTGACCTGAATTTCAAAGAGTTGCTTTTTTGGACTATAGCTCCCAGAACTCCTCATCCAGCATGGGCGCTGGATAGAAGAGTGTGAGAGTTATTCAAGAATTAGTTTTCCCAAGTTCTGCAAGGGACAGGCTATGCCAATGGTGTACGGATTCCCCACATCCCTCCATCCTAGACATCGGCAAACTTGGGCCCTCCAGGTGTTTTGGACTCCAACTTCCACAATTCCTAACAGCCTACCGGCTGTTAGGAATTGCAGGAGTTGGAGTCCAAAACACCTGGAGGGCCCAAGTTTGCCCATGCCTGCTCCATCCCATCCACAAATAAGGAGACTTTCATGTTCCCCTGAACCACAGTGATGGAGCATCCTTTTCTTTCTATCCACCCGCAACCCCACACTGCCACATTTGTGCCCCACATAAAGTTCCTTACAATGTTGGTGAGGATCTGCAAGCGGGCGAGCGGCAGGTGATGACTCCTGGGCACAGCAGGCAAGAAGCTCAGCAAGAAAGCGGTGGAGAGCAGGAGGGTGCCAGGCGTGGGGCTCCCCATGGGGCAGTGGGCTGGAGCTCAGCTGGACCGGAACATGGCTGTGGTGGGAAAAGTCCAACAGTCAGATCGCAGCTGCACACATACTTGGGCCAGGCAGCTGCAGGCCAAGTCTCCTCCCCTCCTGTCTCCGAACATTGCCTTGCCCTGCCCTGCCCCAACCTAACCAGTCTTGCTCAGCTACATTCCTTGGCTTTGGCTGCTGCTGCTGCCGTGCTTGCTTCTGCTGCTGTTTCTCCTGGTTGTTTGGACAACCAGAGAAGTTTTACTCAATCCTTAAATGTGGAGGGTCTCTTTTGGGGATTCTGTCCATCACCTCTGAGTCTGAGTAACAGACTGGGATTCAATTAATCATTTATAGTCTTGGGCAAGAGGGCAAAAGGGCAATTGTGCACCTATGAAACCACCAGAGCCTTGGGGATGTTGCTTTTTTAAAGTACAGCTTTCAGAAGTCGTCAATTCTTAATTCCGGAGCTTTGAAAATAACCAAGAGCAATCAGCACAAATGGGCATCTGGCATTTCTGCTAGGTGCCTATGTGTGATTACCAATGGATCCGGAAGAATTTCTGGCTGCCAGTTGCTTTCCAAACGCTGCAACTGAATAATCCTGGGTTGTAAAGCCTTTGACAATACATTGAATAATCCTGCCTCCCACCCTAGACCATATAGCTGAAATCAAGAAAGCTTGTGGAAACAAAGTGAGGGGTATTTAATGTATTGTCAAAAAAGCTTTCATGGCCGGAATCACTGGGTTGTTGTGAGTTTTCCGGGCTGTATGGCCATGTTCCAGAAGCATTCTCTCCTGATGTTTTGCCTGCATCTATGGCAGGGAACCACTGAGGTTATGAGGACCTCTGAGGATGCCTGCTATAGATGCAGGCGAAACATCAGGAGATAATGCTACTGGAACATGGCCATAAAGCCAGGGAAACTCACAACAACCCTGATGCGTATTTGTTCATTGAAAAGGCTGTAATTCCATTTGGTTCTCTGACTCAAAACAAATTCCTTATCCCACAATTCTTTCATTTTACGCACTGCATCTTTTGGACCAGATTCCTGTTGGTGGATCAATAGATATGAGTAAAAACATGCGGAGATCCAACAAAGCTAGAGCCTTGCTCTATACAACTGCATTCCCATACACTGAGTCTAAGCCAGTGGTTCCCAACCTTCAGTCCTCTAGATCAGTGGCTCTAAACCTTCCTAATGTCACGACCACTTAATACAGTTCCTCATGTTGTGGTGACCCCCAGCCATAAAATTATTTTTGTTGCTACTTCACAACTGTAATTTTGCTACTGTTATGAACCATAATGTAAATATCTGATAGGCAGGATGTAGTTCAATCACTGCATGAAATTTGACACAAATACCCAATACACCCAAATTTGAGTACTGGTGGGGTTGGGGGTATTGATTTAGTCATTTGGGGAGTTGTGGTTGCTGGGATTTATCGTTCACCTACAATCTAAGAGCATTCTGAACTCCACCAACGGTGTAATTGAACCAAACTTGGCACACAGAACTCCCATGACCAACAGAAAATACTGGAAGAGTTTGATGGGCATTGACCTTGAGTGTTAGAGTTGTTTTGGAGTCGTAGTTGTAGTTCACCTACATCTAGAGAGTACTATGGACTCAAACAATGATGAGTCTGGACCAAACTTAGCACAAATACGCAATATGTCCAAATGTGAACACTGGTGGATTGTGGGGAAAATAGACATTTGGGAGTTGTAGTTACTGGGATGTATAGTTCACCTACAATCAAAAAACATTCTGAACTCCACCAATGATAGAATTGGGCCAAACTTCTCACACAGAACCCCCATGGCCAACAGAAAATACTGTGTTTTTTGATGGTCTTTGGCAACCCCTCTGACACCCCCCTCGAGACCACCCCAGGGGTCCCAGGTTGAGAAACACTGCTCTAGATGTTTTGGACTTCAACTCCCAGAAATTCTAGCCAGTTTACCAGCTGTTAGGAATTGTGAGAGTTGAAGTCCAAAACACCTGGAGGACCAGATGTCTAAGCCTATGCCCTGAATACTTTCCTGAATCCTGATAATTACTCTGGACACTCTTATTCCTATTTTAAGAGAGCAAACTGACTCAAGATAGCTATTTCCAGGCATTTCTGACTTATAAAGTGTCCTTTCCTGTTTGGATATTCTTGCTAGCAGGGTAATATTTCAGAGAACACATTCCAGAAATGATTGCATTTCTGAATGACCTTGCACCCTGAAGCTGAAGCTACCCTGATATGAATCCCACATTCCCTCACCCAACTTCATAACAACCAACCTTTAACGTGTGCCAGGGCTCAACTGTAAAAATAGGGGTGCATTTTGTAGTTCAGCCAGGGATAAAAGAAGGCAAAGATCCTGCACCTGTAGGAGATGAGCAAAAGAGAGTGTTTTAGCAGGTCTAGCTTGTCATACTACCTCATCACACTAGAGAATTAATCCACTTTAAATCCAGTTACTGCTTCCTACAGAATTCTGGGGTTTCTAGTTTGGGAGGAGCCTTTAACAGCCTCACTAAACTTCAAACCCCAGAATTTCTGCAGGAGACAGAAACCGGATTTTAAGTGGATTCATTCTCTAGTGTGATTTTTTTTTCTCCCAGGACTGGGATGAAAGTGGTTCCCTATCTTAAAAACTATACAATTTTGAAAATCTTCCAAATATAAGTATAAAAATAGAATTGCATATCACAATTATTAAAACAAGAAAAAACTGTGAAAAACTATTCCTAATACGATACAGCACTCTTTATCTAGTTTTGTATCTCAATGTTCTAGATCAACAGCATGTAGATTTCTTCTGAATTGTTGCCAAAACAATACCTCTCAAGACAAGCCGTCAAGGTGTGGAGGATGGCTGTGTTGACTGGAAGTCATAGAAAATATATAGTCCACTTTTCCTCGACCCAAGAGCCTTGGATACGTAGGATTTTACCATTTCCACCATTCCTAGCTAGCATGGAGATTGCCCTAGATCTCCAAACATTTCCTAGCTGCCCTGACTAGGATGCTTTACCCGACGTGTACGGTAAGCATATTTCTCTCTTCTTCTTCAGGTACAAGGCTAAGGTTAACCTGTGCTAAATTTGGTCCAGTGAATAAAAATACATCCTGCATATCAGATATTTACATTACGATTCATAACAGGAGCAAAATTACAGTTGTGAAGTAGCAACGAAAATAATTTTATGGTTGGGGGTTACCACAAAATGAGGAACTGTGTTAAGGGGTCATGGCATTAGGAAGGTTGAGAACCACTGCTTTAACCAAATGGCCAATGCAAAACTATCGTTTCCCCAAATTCCAAAATTTACCCTATCAAGATGCTTGCAAAAGTTTGTTCTCGATATGAGAGCGAAATGTATCATACACAATCTCTTTCACACCGATCTAATCTCTTGCCCACAAACTTGCTGTGATTTTAGTAGCTTGATTAACAGAAGAGGAAAAGAAGTGTTTGACTCTTCCATTAAACCACTAAGATTAAAAAGTGCAATACATGTTCGTTGAACCTGTCTTCCAAAGAGAATATTCCTATCCTTATCTTGGTTAGAAGGTATAGCGACACTCCGAAGTGATCTCTGCACAACTCTATATTTTTTAGTATAAAGATAACAAATGATGGTTGTTTTCTAATACTGATTTTAGTTCCTACTTCGCAAGGTTGAAGGGAGCAGAATCCCAATATCATATCTTGGGCAAGTTATTTCGATATTATAACTCACCGCAAAAATTGGTAGGTGGATTGTGGAAATTGCTGTCAAACAGGAGGGTTTCCAAGCATCAGTGGTTCCTAAGGCCGTGACCCCTTAATACAGTTCCTCATGTTGTGGTCACCCTCAACCATAACATTATTTTCGTTCTACTTCATAACTGTAATTTTATTACAGTTTTGGATTTGGACTTGGCTGTATTTATAATGTTTTAATGGATATTTTATAATTTAATGTTTTATTTGTGATTATATTGCTTTTCTTTTGCTTTGTTGTTGGTATCTAATGGTTGCCGGTTGTAAGCTGCCCTCAGACACACACACACACCCTGGGGGTGGGGAGAGGATGGGATATAAATATTTGAAATAATAAATACATAACTACTGTTATGAATTTGTAATGTAAATATCTGGTACGCAGGATGTATTTTCATTCACTGGACCAAATTTGACACAAGTACCTGATACGCCCAAACTTGAATACTGGTGGGTTGGGAAGGGGATTGATTGTGTCGTTCGGGGGTTGCAGTTAACCTACAATCAAAGAGCATTCTGGACTCCACCAACGATGCAATTGAACCAAACTTGGCACACAGAACTCCCACAACCAACAGAAAACACCGGAAGGGTTTGGTGGGCATTGACCTTGAGTTATGGAGTTGTAGTTCACCTATATCCAGAGAGCACTGTGGACTCAAACAATGATGGATCTGGACCAAATTTGGCAATACTCAATATACCCAAATATGAACGCTGGTGAAGTTTGGGGAAAACAGAACTTGACACTTGGGAGTTGTAGTTTCTGGGATTTATAGTTCACCTACAATCAAAGAGCATTCTGAACCCCACCAACGTTAGAATCACGCCAAACTTCCCACAGAGAACCTCCATGACCAACAGAAAATACTGTGTTTTCTGCTGGTCTTTGGCGACCCCTCTGAAACCCCCAAAGTGACCCCCCCCCCAGGGATCCCAACCCCCAGGTTGAGAAACACTGGTGTAGATGGAAGGAACAGCTTATCTGTTCCTCTGTAGAATATGCAATGCATATTGTGGACAATTGCAACACATCAACAAGAGTTAGAATATCTGATTCAAGGTTTGTGGACAGAGTACACAGAGAAGCACGTTGTCAGAGCTCTGTCCTTCAAAAATAAGGGATGGGGATGGTGTCACAGGGCTAAACCTTTAATGAAAGGGAGAAGAGAGACTGAATGCTGCTTTGCTGAATCTGTCTGGTTTTGTCTTATAGGAACATACTGATTTTTTTATTAACACTCCTGTTGTGTTATGTTTTTTTCTGACTCAGTGGCCCTAAGACAAACCTTTCATGGGGTTCTCTTGGCAAGTTTTCTTAAGAGGAGTTTGGCTTTTTGTCTTCTTCTGAGGCTGAGAGAGTGTGACCCACCTAAGGTCACCCATGGATTTGAACCCTGGCCTCCAAAACACTCAAATCACATCAAGCTGGCCTTCTGGGGATATGGGCATACCTCTGTTAACAAAATATATGTGTTCTTGGGTTTTCCTTTAAGAGAAGATTTGGCACCAGGTGTAGAAATAACATCAAAAGACTTGG